TCTATTATATTTGAATATAATAAGGGTAAATGTATTGATCGAATAATTGATTATTTGTTTAATGATGTTGTTTCAAATCTTGAACAACTACCAAATGCTAATGTTGATGATTTATGTCAAAAAATTACTTACAATAAATTAAACAAAGGTTCAGCCGATTATTATCATTTAAAAGAGAATAAAATGTCTTTGAAAGAATATATTTTAATATTATTTGATTGGATCAAGTTTATTATTTCAAATCGAGATGCAATCACAAATAATAAAAGCAATGTTGAACTAAAAATTATTTTGGAGTTTCAAGCAACTGGTGAATTATTATATCATTCTGAAATATTTCGTTCTATACTATCAAAAGTATATTCAATTGCTAATGATGCTGAACGTATTCTATATTATTTGGATAAAGTATCAGCACATCATCGATCACTTAATTTAATATTAAAAACTTTAAACAAACGAAAATTTGAATATGGTGAAATATATAAAAATATTCAATGGTCTTTTATTGAACCAATCGAAGACATCGTTGAATTAAAAGAAACACCATCATCATCATTTGATAAAATCTGGTCGGTATGTGGTTTACCAAATAATGAAACAAAAAAAGAATTTCAAGATAAATTTATTCAAAATAAATTTAATTCATATGATTCAAATTTAAAATTATCAACATGTTTACATAGTGAAATTCGAATGATAGATTATTTAATTGAACAAAATATAAAAGAAGTTCATGATAAAGATGTAGAAATTGGAATATCGAAATTACCATGTTATTTATGTTCAATATATATTGAAAAATTAAATGGTGATTTTAATCGAACGTTTTATATTGGTTCTTTAATAACTGATGGAAAAATTTATCCAAATTGGATGTTTAGAAAGAATGAAGAAGATAAAATGATAAATTATGTTAATGATCAATTATATATATTTATCAAAAACGACTTACAATTGTTGGAATTAAGAATAAGAAAAAAAAGTGGCGATAGTGATACGCAAGAAATAGACATAGATGATGATGATGTCAATAATGCATTTATGCATATGACGATGAAGGAAAAAAATAAGCAATAAATTTCAACGGTTCCAATGGAAAACACTAATTGTTTTTTTTTTGTTCTTGTTTTTTCGTTTTCTATCTCATTTATACACATGACTCTGGATTGTTTTTAGGAGTGGGGGGCTAAAATTTTTTGGCAGACAATATTCATATTTTTTGGCCAAGGCTCTCGATTGTTTTTGAGAGTAGAAGGGGCACACACTATTCATATACTTTCGCAGACAGCTTGTTAACGAAACCTTTTTAGAAATAGCTACCGAAAATTTCCTAGTTTTTCATAAAAACTGATGACCGAGCGGTAACGTGCCTCTTTCTGTGTTTCATAGAAAGTCGTGATCGGGCCCAACGGGGGTAGCTTTGGAAAGATTCCCCTATCCCCCTTCAGGGACGAGCCAAATCTCGGAAAAAGTTCCGTCCACAAAAACAAAACCAGGGCCAAGGGGAGGGGGGTAGCTTGCGAAGATCCCCCGAACAGCGCCTATTTAAAAATTTTCCAGACCATATTCACAAATTTGCCAGACAAGTCTCAGAAATTTGCCAGACACTAAAACAGATTTTCAACTTTTGGGAGAGGCTAGCGCTCCTTCCCCCCCCCCACATCGAGAGCCATGTTTATACACACATATGATTAAGAGCTTTGTACGAGATGGGATCAAATCAAACTTCTTAAAAGCATTCTATAACCCGCAGCAGTTTCAAAGTTTCTTTTGGATGAAGCTTAATGAGAGAATTGCTTGTGTTTTTCATTAAAACTAAAGCTTTTAATGTATGTAATTTATTTTAAGAGTTTATTGTTTTTTTTTTGAAAAATCTTCTTGCAATATCGATTGATATATAGAAAAGATGATTTAAGAAAAAGAAGAAGAAAAATCGTTAAAAGAAACTATCGATTCGAAAAACTATACTTTCAATGAAAAAAAAAACGGAGCTCTTCTCTCATAGAATTTCTCTGAGATAAGTTTTGATTTGTCTTGTCTGATGCAGAGTTCTGATATGTGTTGATATATGTTACTTCTCATTCTTTTTTTGTCTTTTTATGTTAATGTTTCTATGTTCATGATTTACGATATACATTTATCTATATTATTGCTCTTGTAAACAAAGTTCAATTGACTTTTGAAAAAAAAGATTCATTAACATTTATTTATCTATAATAGGTCTCTATCATAATGCAGGCAAATATTCAACAATAGATGGGATTGGGTGTGGGTGTGAGTGTGGGTGGGTGTGGGTGTGGGTGTGGGTGTGGGTGTGGGTGTGGG